CAGTGTTTCCTAACCAATGGGTAAAGCTTCGAAGGCCAGGGAAATGGCTCTAGCAAAGAACTATTAGATGATGATTCGCTCGATGCAGATGTCATGCAGCGAATGTGTCCCAGATGTAGGCTAAGTTACAAATGGCTGAAAGGGCTTCCTATTGATGAGAAACAATACTACAAGGATGTGCAGAAAGATCGAAAGCCAGTTAGTACCCATAACAAGAGGGCACATTCAAAGGATCTTAGCTAGCAACCATCCTTGGTTGGGTCTCCAGGTGCCAAGAATCTGTCAAAGGGTAAGAGACCTTTATATGAGGCTAGGCCACTAAATTACTATACAGCAGTTGATAAGCTCGTAAATAAGCCTGAACTTGGCCCAAAACAGGGAACCAAGACCAGTGATTGGCTTTCGAAGGTAAAAACAGCAGGCCCAACGATTAGTACAAGGGGCTCATGGGTACCAGGAGTACCAGATTGGTTTGTCATGCAGAACAAACCTAAGATGATACCAACCCAGGGTAAGGCCTTTGCAAGCAAGGATAGAATGATTAACCCTCCTTTGGTGGCTTTACTCAAAAATCTGAAAACAAAGGAACTGGACACGGTTCCTGTGATCTCTAGATCTCATAGGAGAAAATCCAATGCAGGTTCACTCAGTACCAAAGGGATCTTAAGGGAGCTGGTGAGGACACCTCTTTGGTGCAAACAAGAGATCAAACGGGAGAAGGAGAAAATTCAAAACCTAGTCCAAAGATCAACTGAAGTGCCAATAGAGAGAAATTGGCTAAGGTTCATGCTAAATTGAAAACTAAAGAGAGATCAAGTCTGATAGGCCTCGAAAAGGCCTTAATGGAAGGTGATGACGACAAGGAGACAGACGAAGGAACTAGACCAAGCCAGGAACATGTATTGGCTGAGGAAGATGTGTTCGAAACTTTCATGGTTGAACAAGCACTGTATGCAAGTCAGACCAACAATAGACCATTGATAAGAAGCTTGAGGTTCCAGAATGTGGCATGGAAAATACATCTGAGGCATCAGGTTAGGCCAACACAGAAGGGGAGCAGATACAGCCAGTGGTGCAGTTTGGTTCATTCTCTCGAATACCAATTAATATGGTATACATACTGCCTCAGAAATTTCAGGTGGAAGAAGGAAATTAGGAGGGTCAAGAGGGTGAGCCTATAGAAGTTTCCAACGAAGACTCACAAGCCAGCATAGTCCAGGATGAGTCTAAAGTAGCCAAGCCTATGCAAACTGATGAAGAAAATGAAGTGGTAAGCATAGTTACTCTAGTATACCCCTTTGAATATCCCACATCATTAATGACTCAATATGTTAAACCTCTGTACATTAAGGCATACTTCGATGGAATAGAGATAAACATGGTATTAATGGATAATGGGGCAGAAGTAAATTTCGTTCATCTTTGAAAAAATTGGGCAAAAGGAATCCTAGATTGATCCCAACAAGCACGACCATCCCTGGTTTTGCTGGGGACAAGTAGATGGCCAAAGGCATATTACCCATTAATTTAAGTGTGGGAACAAGGGATTGTATGACTGTATTTTTTGTCATAGACAGCAATGCCAAGTATAATGCTTTGCTTGGTAGAGATTGGATCCGCACCAACAAATGTGTACCCTCTTCTTTATATCAGAAGGTGATGATAGCTTTGAGCAATAGGGAGACAGAGGAAATAAATGCAGACCTACAGCCCTTCATTGCTTGTGCAAATTTTGCAAAAGAAACATTGTATACCAAAGGGGTGGTTCCACTAAACGTACTAAGAAAGCTTGATAGAACAGCCGAAGAAACAACTAATGAGGAATTGGCACACCTGAAACATTTGGTGCAAGAAAGTGCTGATGATGAATATGACTACATCATCAAGGATACCAACAATACCTGGTTGTAAGCAGGAAGATCAAGAAACCAGATCCTTGGCTTTGGTGAAGTTCTTCACACTGGACATTGAGGCAATAGTCCAGAAGGTTTAGAAGGAAGAAAGAGAAGCCATGATGATTGGTTGCAAACATGAGCCACATGAAGCCAAACCATTGGCTCTAAGCAAGTATTGTGCATTGGACATTGACACTAAAATCCAAGAGATATAGGAAGAAGAAGCTTTAATGATAGATTTTGTCTATGAAAAAGAGAGCAGAGAGGTTGAGCCAAGAAAGCTTGTGACAGATCAGGATGAAAGGTTTGCTTCGAAGCCGAAAAAAGCTGAAGGAAGGACATTAGTAAGCACTCAGATAGAAGATCCTTCAGAGGAGATCAATCCAGGAGAAGCATCAATACAACAACCTACCTATATTAGTACTTGGTTGGATCCTACAGCCAGGAACCAGTTATTGGCCCTTCTGAAAAAATATAAGGATTGTTTTGCTTAATCTTACAATGATCTGCCTGGATTGGATAGGTCATTAGTGGAACATAGACTTCCAATTAAGCCAAATTTTAAACCATACAAGCAGAAGCCTAGACGAATGAGTCCTGGGGTGATTCAAAAGGTGAAGGATAAGATTGCTAGGCTCCTCAAAGAAGGCTTTATCAGAACAGCCAAGTATGTTGAATGGCTATCCAATATCGTGCATGTGATTAAAAAGAATAGCAAATTGAGGTTATGTATTGATTTCAGAAATCTAAACTTGGCAACTCCAAAAGATGAGTACCCCATGCTTGTAGTGGATCTGTTGGTGGATAGTTCAGTAAGGCACATGATCTTGTCAATGATGGATGGGCATTCTGGCTACAACTAGATATGCATAGCAGATGAGGATGTTCACAAGACAGCTTTCAGGTGTCCTAGGAACATTGGGACCTTCGAATGAGTTAAGATGCCATTTAGATTGAAGAATGCTGGAGCAACATATCAAAGAGCAATGAACACCATCTTTCATGATCTCCTGTGAGGATACTTGGAGTGTTACATTGATGATATCGTGGTGAAGTCTCAGTCTATGGAAGAGCATCTTATCCATCTCACAGCAACCTTCAAAAGAATGAGAAAATTCAAGTTAAAACTCAATCCATTCAAATGTTTTTTTGGTGTATCAGCTGGAAACTTCTTAGTGCATATAGTACACAAGAAAGGAATACAGATTGATCAGAACAAACCAAAGCCATCATTGAGGCCAAACCTCCATCAAGTAAGAAAGACTTGTAAAAATTCCCTGGATATGTTAATTTTCTTCGAAGGTTTATTTCTAAAACTACTGGGAAAACTAAAGTTTTTTCTTCTCTGCTGAAGTTAAAAAATGAAGAAGAATTTAGGTAGTTAGCAGAGCATCAAGTTGCTTTTGAAGGAATAAAAGCCTATTTGGCCAAACCTCTAATGTTGATGCCACCAAGGAAGGATAGACCTTTAAAGTTATACATTGCTGCAATTGAAGAATCATTAGGAGTTTTTCTAGCTTAGGACAATGAAGAAGGCAAGGAACAAGCAGTATATTACCTTAGTAGGTTTTTAAACTCTTGTGAATATAAATACTCAGCTGTTGAAAAGCTATGTTTAGCCTTGTACTATGCACCAATAAAATTAAGAAATTATCTTTTGCCTACTATTATCTTCGTAATTGCAACCACAGATTTGGTTAAGTACATGTTATTTAGACCTATATTAAGAGGAGGAATGGGCAAATGGATTTTGGCTTTGTCAGAGTTTTATTTGGAATATATTCCCCAAAAGGCAGTGAAAGGTCAGGTATTAGCCAATTTCTTAGCTGATCATCCATGTCAAACAGAAAATTAAGAAATAATGGAACTTGATATAGCAGACTTGGAGCCATGGCAGATGTGGTTCGATGGATCAAAGGGTAATGGTCTTGTAGGAATTGGTGTTGTGGTTAAATCACCACAAGGAGCAGAAACCACACATGGTTTTAGAATTGATGAAACTACTTGTTTCAATAATCAGTTGAATACGAAGCTTTAATTATGGGACTTGAGTTACTTATTGGCTTACAGGTTCATGCAATTGATATATTTGGAGATTCCCAATTAGTAATTAAACAAGTAAAAGGAATCTTTAAGTGTCAAAGTGTAAGCATGTTGCCATACTATGTTGTTGCTGTACATTTACTTTCCCATTTTCAAGTGGCAGATATAACTCACATCCCAATTCATGAATTACAAAGCCAATGATGTGGCCCAAAAAGTTTCGAATTTTAGAAAAAGGGACAATAATGCTCAAACAGATATTGGCCAAGCAACATATCAAAAGTTGACACCACCTTTAGTAAAATGGGGTTTATTGGTAGAAGCCAATTAGAATGACTTGGAAGAGCAGGATTGGAGACATCCAATCATTCAATATTTGACTAGCCCTTCCTCGAAGGCTAGCAGAAAGCTTAAGCTATAGTCCATGAAGTTCATAGTGTACGGGAATGCTCTTTATAAAAAAGGGGTAGATGGTCTCTTATTAGAGTGTTTGGGACCAAATGAAGCATTGACTGTTATGGTTGAGGTGCATGAAGGCATCTGTGGTACTCACCAGCTTGGGGTTAAGATGAAATAGCTGCTTTGAAGGCATTCTTATTACTGACCAACCATCCTTAAGGATTGCATAGAGTATGCAAAAGGTTGCCATGCATGCCAGAAGCATGGTATGATAAGACATGTTCCAATAACTGATCTATATGCAATGGTGAAGCCTTGGCTATTTAGAGGGTGGGCAATGGATATGATAGGAAAATTTTACCCACCTTCTTCGAAACAACACTGTTTCATACTAGTGGCTACAGACTGCTTTACTAAGTGGGTTGAGGTTAAGCCCTATAAAACTGTGGATCAAACAGAAGTAATTGATTTCATCAAGGATTTGATTCATAGATTTGGCATTCCACTGACTATAACAGTGGGTAATGAGATTGTGTTTGATGGAAAGCTAGTAAAGGCTTTCGCAGCAGAGTTTGGAATTTGTCTTGTTATTCTACCCCCTATTACGCACAAGCAAATGGCCAAGCAGAGTCATCGAACAAATCCTTGAAGAAGGGAATACAAATGGTTGTTGAAGACAATCCTAGAACTTGGCATAACTTACTATTAGATGTGTTATGGGCTTATAGGACTTCCCAAATATCAAGCATAGGAATTACCCTTTATGCCTTGGTGTATGGGCATGATGCAGTATTACCTGTTGAGATCAATATAAAGTCCTTAAGGGTCAAATGTCAAGATCACCTAAGTACTGATCAGTATTATCAAAGCATGCATTTGGAATTAGAAAATATGGATAAGGTTAGAATTTTGGCACTAAACAACATCCTTCTACAAAAGAGAAAAGCAGCCAAAAGCAATAATAAAATGGTCCAACACATCAACTTTGATGAAGGAGGCTTAGTTTGGAAAACAATAATTTCAGTAGGAATTAAAAGCCACAAATTTGGCAAGTGGTCGCCTAATTGGAAGGGATTATACCAAGTCCATAGAGTCCTGTTTGGGGGAGCCTACCATTTAAAGAATCTAAATGGGTATGTGCATCCCAGGAAAATTAATGATAGATATTTGAAGCATTATTACCCAACTGTGTGGAAAGTATAAGGAGTATAGGATCATCATATGAATATCAAGAAGAAATAAGAAACATTTGAGTAGCTAATAGTGTTTCATTTCATAATAAATCAAGTACATTTTGCCACAATTTGGCCTAAAATTCATTACAATGTTTCAACTGTTCCCTTACAATGAGTTATTTACTTCTAAGTGCTGAGAACAATTGAATGGCAATGTTCGTCTCTTGCCTGAGGTTTGATAGCCCCTGGTGAGAAAAATGTAGTTTCTTTGCATTTTACTCCAAAGCCAGGTTGACTGCTGCTAGTTCCTTCTCTAATTCTATCTTCTTATGTAGTAGCTGAGCTTGGTAGCTGTGTGGCAAAGGAGTGTTGTCCCTTCAGCATTAAGACTTTAGAATGAACATGAGAGACAAACTCCTTGTCTTTTAAAAATTCTTTCTTTGCAACATTGGCTAGTTGATGAAGATTGACATAAAATTCGATGGTTGCTGTTGCCTGAGACAAATGACCTCTAAAGGCAGCATTGGTTTGCTCAAAGAATTGGCAGCATTTGAGAAACCCATTCTTGATTGTTGGCTTTTGTAAAGCCTCGAATGGGATCCTTGAGAAAGTCCTAATTAGCTCTAAAAAGATGCCTAAATGCACCTGAGGAAGAGGAATAGTGGATTCAGCAATAGAAGAGCCTCTAATTATCTGCAGAAAGGAGTTAGCTAGGTCCAAGGGCCCAGTTTCATTGTCGGATGGAAGCACTGGTGTAGATATCCGAAATAAGCTTACTAGCTGAGCTTTGAAGATGTCCATCTCTTTCTCTAACAAGGGGAGTGTAGAGGAGCTACTAGTGGAAGGCATTGCTAAAGAAATCGGTGGAGAAAAAGGAGAGGAAAATGCCTCAGGAGCATCAATAGTCCTAGCCACCAGCAAGTCTAAGGAAAGGGGACTAGAGCATGGTATTGAAGAAAGTGTTAATGGGCTACCAGTGCTATCCCGGGAGGTACTAGCTACTCAGGAAGAAGGAGGGGTAGCAGGCATAGTCTCAAAAGATAAAAAGGTGACTAGGACTCTGGGAAGTGTAGAATCAGGCAAAGGTTAGGTGATGGTCACCAAGGGCTAGTTGAGAAATTCAACAGGATTATTAGAGGGGAAGGAAAGGACGATTGACAGGTCAAGCCTTTAAAGAAGAGGCTATAGGGAGTGTAGAGGCAGGAGTTGGAAATATCATTTGCAAAGACTCTGCACTCATTGGAAAATTGATGCCTGCCTTTCATTTTCCCTTTAGGGCCTTTTTCAAATCCGCACGGCTCAAGAATGATCTTTCAGTACTTTATGGAGGAGAAAAAGAAGGTAGCAAAGAATGTATAGGTAGGCTAGCTATTGCGGGATATAAAAAGAAAATAGGCATAAAAACAAAGCTAAAAGAGCATATCAAAACCAGAGGTGTTGTAAAAAGGAAAAAAGAATTGCGAGCAGTTGTAGTAATAGTAGTTGGAGAGCTGCGAAGGGTATGATGTTCAGCAACTTTACTCTTCCTTACAATCTCCTGTTATGCTGCCTCGACAATAGCAGCTTCTTCCTTTAAAATCCTATGCTGCCTCCTCTTCTCAGATCTTTGAAAAACAATGACCTCCTTGGCTTGTTCTTTTTTACTGTCTTAATAGCTGCTTCGTGAGCAGCATCTATGGTAGGTTGGGCATTAAAGGAAGCTGGTTTCTTCCTTCTTTTCAAAGAGGCCTCTTTTTCTTCTTCTTCTTCTGAAGGGACCTTAGAGGCCTCTTCCACAGGCTCAAGCTTGATGTGGGCTTTTCTTTTCTGCTGCTTACTCTTCAGTGTGGCCAAGGTTTGTGCTCTCTAAGATGAGGCCTCCTGCGAAGTTCCTATACTAGTAAAAGAAACTATAAGTAAGAAGAACAATATAAAGGAAGGAAAAAAAAATACAAAAGAAAGGGTAGAACAAGTACCCTTTTTGACAACGACCTTTGTAATTCTAGGTGAGGAGGCTGCAGTGGGGGTAGAGGTAATAGTAATGTCAGCCTCTTTGCATTTGCCTTGCCCTCCCTAGGATGGCAAATCCAATTTCTGTAGTAAAACCAGGGTAAGGGTAGCAAGCTACACCTCCATGCTGACAGACCACCAGGTCTTGAACCCAGTCATAGCCCTACTGTAGCCAGTGTGAAAGGCACAAATTCAAAGCTGGAAAGATCTTTTCTAAACTTGACTATTGCGTCATCCAGCCTGGATTTTGGTACCTTCAGGTCTCCGGTGTCAAGATCAGAATTGGAGAGGCTGCAAAGTGGGACAAGAATCCCTTGGCTAAGCCCAAATTGCCTTGCAAATTGAGAGGGGCAGTAGGCTTCAGAGATGCACTTGTAAGCTCTATGATTTAAAATGCCAATGAAGAGCTCCCTTAACAGCAAAATAGAGGCCCACATTTCCTTGTGAACAGGCCTGGAACAGGTGGAATCAGCCTAAAAGGCCCTTAACCATGCTGGCCCTACAGCAGCATCGAAGGGACGGAAGAAGGAGGAGTGAGTAGCTAGTGGTAGGTGATGAAAGAAAGAGAAATAATATACAAAGTTGGAGGGATATAAGAAAACCCTAGCATATTTCTCCCCGTAGGTGGTAGGATCCTGTACCAGAAATCTTAGGTTTCGAGAATGAAGGTTAGTGAAGTAGGCAAAAAGCCAAAGTTGAAGGATCCAAATAGGACCCCCTTGATTCTGCTCTAGAGTCCTCTCACAAAATTGAGAGCAGACCCTGTATACATGACCAAGGACATTGGGGGCCGGGCAATCTTTTTCCCTGAAGCCAGAGCTTTGGCAAGGGGACAAATTCAGGCATTATTTTCTGAGAAAAAGTACAGAAAAAAAAATTTACAAAGTCAGTAGAAGATGAAAGAAAAGAACTCATGGTCGGTCACAAGACCTTTATTTTTATTCTCAAAGGCTACGAAGTCACTGTAAGAAGAATTAGAAGGAGGAACAGAGAAGGAGACCTTAAGGTCTGGATAATGAGGACCAGAAGTACCATCAGCAGGTGAAAGCCCTAGAATGTGGCACATCTCAAGAATGGTGAGGGCCATCATGCCGCATTGAAATTGGAAAAAGTTAAAAGCAGGGTTCCAAAAACAGAGAGCAGCTGGGATGAGAAAAAGGTCCTCAGGAATTACGAACCTAGAGAGTTGAAGGGCATCAAGAATGTAGAGGTCCTCCAAGTCTTGTCGTCGGGCTCCAACTACTCTATCATACACTCTTCCTACTCAGTCTTTAATGTGGGCCAGCAACGATGAGGTTGATTAACCCTCAAACTTCCCCAGTTAAATTTCCTTCGTAGAGGAGGTAGTGGTCCTCTAAGCGTGGTACAAGGGAAGAAGTGTAGCAAGAGCCTCCTTAAAGATGGGGCCAAGAACATACTCCCCTTGAGCATGGTGGCAAGGGACGAAGATTCTCCCATCAATCGCACTTCGACCCTCTAGTATCTCGTACTTGGTTATCTCATCATTAATGCACCTCCTCAAAGCCACTGAGGGACGCAGATGATCAACCAGTGGTATTTTCTCAAAAGAAGAAGAAGCCATTAATGAGGGATTGCAAGAAGAATAAGAAGGGAAGGGTAAGAAGTTGAAGTCAGCAACAATAAAAGTAAGATTAAAGACTGGACAAACAAATAGGTAAGAGCGTGAGAAATTGGGGCTTTATACCTTTCTGTCCAAATTACCCATTTAACCTAACGGGTCAAATAAGCCCAGGTTATTTGAATTTTATTTTGACCCATGTGGGATCAAGGCCTTTATTTTTGACCTCCTATGAAGAAAGTTTCCTCCAAATCAGCATCTTGTTACCTTATAAGGGAAGAACATAAACTGCGAAGTGTTTAGCTTGGCTTTGAAATGAATAGTTGGCTTCGAAGCAAGTATTTTGCTAGAATTTTGAAGCCTATACCTTAATTCGAGTAAAGTTAGAACTTGTTTAACAATTCGAAGGTCTTAAAAGTATGTTCCTAGACTTTTTACCAAGGAAGATTTCCTTCGAAGGAGTATTTTATTATCTTTTGAAAGGAAGTGTGCCTTGGAGTTTGCTGAATTGGTATAAAAGTTTAAAGACTTGTAAATTGGCTGAAGAGAAGCCCATGTCTTTAAATTCAAAAGTATGAAAGTACATTCTTGGACTTTCTACTGAACAAAGCCCTTCGAAGGAAGATGTTATCACTTTTTTAGGGAAACTATGCTTCATAACACTTGACCAGGCTTCGAAATAAATAGGTTACTTCGAGGCTGATATTTGTTAATTATGGGAACAAGTTAGAAGACAAAAGTCATGCATATTGACAATATAAACCATACAATTGGAACACAGAAACCCAATTCTATTAATGTAAACATTTACATTGAGAGGGCTTATTTGGCTACATTCTCAATCTTGTAAAAATAAGGACTGGATAAGGTTACAAGGTCATGGAACTCTGTCCAGCAAAATTCAATAAATACATGTTCCTTTTCTAGCATTTCCTCTATTCTATGTAAATTTGGCTTGTCTAATTAGTGAACCTGTAGTTAGTAAAAAAGGTGTTAGGTCCTCATTTCAAATTCTGTTTTAAAGCTTTCTCCACTTCATCCATCTCATACATCTCATACATGTCACCCATATTGGCATCTTCTCCATACTCAGAATCATGGTTCTTGAAATCTTCATACTCTTCAAGAAGATTCTCTACCTCGTATTGGGTTTGAACGCGAACGGCAGAGATCTCATCTAATGATTCGCTAGTGGCCAAGGCATTTTTGTGCTAGTTAACAGCAAGGGGAGCTATTCCAGGAAAGTGTGAAGTTTTACTTGGGCCACGAGGTCGAGGTTATGGCTTCGAGAGACAATGTCACAAGCCTATAGAAAGTTCTTGTAGGGGGTGTCATCTCGAAGGACTATGAAAGATAGGTGAGAAACGACAGCGAGCAAGGTTTGGGCTTTATACTACTGATAAGCAGTTAGAGGAACCGGAGCTTGATAGGGGGCGAAATGCTGGCTTTCAAAGAAGGTAAGTTTTAATTCCTCAATCTAGTTAGGATTAGAAGGAAGGGGAGGAGCAGTTGGGTCCCCTCCAAAGGAAGGTGGAAATTGAGGCTCATCTACACACTCTAGCCAGTTAGAAGAGCAAAGTTTTGCTTTCTTGGCTAGGAGTGAAGGGCTCATTCCCAAAGCTTTTATTAGGTGAGGGGTCTTTTGCACTATGTTGGTCGGCAAGGTGGAGGTATACCATGCCGAAAGCAAGTTGTCTTTGAGACAGCGAAGGTAATCGAATGGAATATAGGGATATACCACAGAGTTGAGCAAAGAAGGTGGAATCACAGTGGGGTCGTCGAATTCAACAAGTCTGTGATGAATTCGCTCCCTTGTTTGGGGTTGGGTTGGCGTGGCCAAACATTCCAACCAGTAGTTCCAGTAGAAGAGGAGGCAACTTCATCTCACACTGAAGGTTTTTGAGCAGATGAAGAGCTTCCAAAATCTATTTGGGCAAGTTTTTGGTCTAAAATCATATATTTTGCGAAAACTTCCATAACTTGTATAAATAGAGGAGGATAAATATAGCTAATAAATGCATGGAAGTTCTTTCAAGATTGATCATCATTGTCCAAACCCTCTTTCTATGCTTGATCAATGAAAGAGAAGGTTTGATTAGCCATCAAGGATGTATCAGTCCCTTTGTTTGCACAAATAGTAGGGGTAAATTTCAAGCACAAGAGGAAGTTCAGTGAAGTTCAATGTTTTAAGCATTGCCTGGAGACGGTTACACTTCTAGGACAAATAATTACCATGCACGTCCTAGGACGTGGGCAAAATGCATCGATCCATTAATATTACCAAGTATTGACTATATTAGTGCAAGGAGTAATGTTGGCTATATGTTTTGTACAAACCTATCGCAGCCTGACACGTCGATCATAAAGGGCAATTTGGGGAATCATTAAAGGTCTCCAATAATCAACAGACGCATGGCAACTTATAGCAGTGGCAATGGATCCACGAGACATGGGCACAATTAAGATATCCAAGTGACTTGGCCAAACTGTTACTTACAATTTAAATTCAAATTCAGGAGGAAAGCCCAACCGTAGGAGTGGAATAGTGGAAACAAACTGTTCAAAGCCATACTCAATGATCATGGAGATCACTTCGACAGTTATCACCTACTTCAATGGTTATTAGCCACTTCAACAGTTATTTTCAAAGCCTATAAATAGAGGATAGTGTCGATAATGCAGAGACCTAGAATCAAATCCAGAAAACTAGTTTATTTACTTTACATTTTCTAATCCTTTAAACTCCAATCTTTTACTTTCCTGTACTGCACTTCACAAATTCCTAAGGGTAATTCTAAAATAGTTTGTTGATGTAATCCCCTTCGAAGCTGTGAAAGTGCCTAAGGGTAATTCTAAAATAGTTTGTTGATGTAATCCCCTTCGAAGCTGTGAAAATGCGAAGGTATTATTATAAACTTTTGTTTACTTAATGAAGTTTGATTTTTGCCACTGCTTTTTCCTCTTTCTTTTACTTTGATTAGTCTTCTTAATTTTCTCCTAAAAATTAAGCCACCAGTAAAATCCTCTTCATTAAGGCTAAAAGAATTTTGAAGCATTGTCTGACTAATTGGTTAGTATTTACTAATCTTTGTAAAAACTTATTGATCCTTACTGGCACGCTCAAATTACATTTCTAACATTCAATAGCCAAAAAATCAACAATAATATACTATGGCTAGGTGGTCCAAATTTTTGTCCCAAAGCAATACTGGAGAATCATCTACAACGTCAATTCCATAAGTTTCCTTTCGATATTTGGCAAATCCTAACACATGTTACGACCAACAGGCAGCTCAGTTTTAGCAACCATCCAAGAAAAAGTAATTTATAGCCCACCTGGTTGCACAAGAAAAACCAAAGCATACATAAGCAATACCAATGGGGCATATTTCCAATCAAGCCAAACTCAACTAAATAGCATGTTCATATCAACCACAATCTAAATGCAAATTCATCAGTCATACTTCTTTAATGTTTGCTTCCAAGAACACATAATTCATTAGAATAAAAAAGATTCTACACTAGAAATCCAAGAAATAAAAACACACAAGCACAGGATCAAATAACCCCGACCTGGCCGTTTCCAGTTACACTGTCACAAACTACAAAACAAAAACAAAAACAAAAAAGCCCTCCCAGATCACCCGATAATTTTTTTTTAAAAAAAAGGGACGAGGCGGAGAAAATGCAGACAAGCAAACTGAGACAATCTTGTCAGCAATGAAGTAGAAGAGAGGGACATACATTTTACAACATGCCGAACATATAAATTAACGTTGGAAGCATTTGCTCCACAACCAAAAAAATATTAAAAAAAATAATAATAAATAATAGATAAAATAACTGATATGAGAAAAATAGGATAAGGGTAAAAAAATAAAAAAAGATATACTAATTTCAGAACCAGCATGCATGTTGAATTGATAATTAAAACAGTAAGCTGCATCTCCAAATGTACACACGTTCCCTAATAATGTAGGTCATTGTTCCACATGAAGTGCGACAGAAATCCATTCTGAAGCAGCTGTTTGAGTGTTCAACTCAATATGCGGTGAAACTGAGTGTGAAGTAATTGCAACCTGTTCCAAAAGTAAAAACAAGAATCAGCACAGTAAGAAATCAAAGTAGGAGGGCATTCACCGTCTACATTATATCAAATGAATCGACCTCCATTTCCAAAGCATTTTGAACAAGCTTCATGTTCTTATGCCTGAGCACAAGGTAATTTAACATATTTAAGATGCAACCTCATTTCTAATATTTCATTTGATAATTAGGGTTAGGTGATATTGATGACTCCAGGATTCTTCCGTCACAAAGGCTCCAGTGGAAATTCTTTGCTCCATTCAGTCCTATTATACAAGGGTCGTGCCAATGACAGCCCAATAGGCTGTCAATAAGAGAAACAAAATGCCACAAAAGTGAGAATCTCAATGTATTTTTTATAGATCCCAAAGAATTTTCACATTTTTCTATGCACATTTTACATTGTTGGCATTTTCCACAAAATAATCACATAAACAACGTGACAAAAAATGCAACAGACCATCCTTAATGACAACTAGAGTTTGGAATGGTAAAATTGGTGCCACACGAGGGGAAAAAGAACATCCAACTTATAACAAAATGATATGCAAGATGCAGCCAGATCATTTGGCACCCAAATGAAATGAAAATACGCCCAAATGAAATTGGATCAAAACACCATTAATCTGACATGGTAAAAACACTTACAAATCCATTTTCAAGTGCTCTGAAATCGAGATCCTCATCCACATCTTCTTGCTCCTTGTCCAGAAACTGCAAACACCAATGATTAACTAAATCATTCCTTGATAAACACCTAAATCATTTGTAGAAAAACAAAAAGGTACAAAGCAATGGCAGGCCAAATCGTACTTCAAGTTTGTGGAAGAAAGTTTTACTTGAAGATTTTACTTGAAGAGGAAGAAAGTTTTACTTGAAGATTTTAGAAAAACTATGCTTCACCCACTCCAAAAGTACTTCAAGTTTGTGGATGCACTTAGACTATTGCTTTATACTAAAATTCTATATAGATCCCAAAAAAAAAAAAAAAAATTGTAAATGTAACTTCACTGCCCTTGAAAGTACACCTGAGAGAAAAAAATATGCTTCACCCACTCCAAAAGTAATTCAAGTTTGTAGATGCACTTAGACGATTGCTTTATACTAAAATTCTATATAGATCCAAAAAATATTGTAAATGTAACTTAATATGAAAGTTTCAAGTACTTCACTGCCCTTGAAGTACACCTGAGAGAGAGAGAGAATGGGAAGAAAAAGATCATTATGGAGATTGAAGTTTTTCAATAAAATGATAACATTGTAATAGCAAATTCGAGATTTCATTAGTTTGTTGGGTAGTGTATATAAGTTATTGGCGAAAGTTCTAGCTAATCGTCTTCGACGTGTGCTCCAGGGGTGGTTGTCTCAATCTCAGAATGCTTTTGTGGGCAGCCGTCAAATTCTAGATGCGGTTTTGGTTGCTAATGAGTGTGTTGACTCAAGGATTCGACAAGGACAGGAGGGTTTTATTTGCAAGCTGGATATTGAGAAAGCATATAATTATGTAAATTGAAAGTTTCTTTTGCATGTTTTAGGAAGGATGGGGTTTGGGGATATGGAGGCAGTGGATTCAATTTTGCATATCTACTCTTCGGATTAGTGTTGTGAAAGGCGCGCCTAGGCACAAGACGTAGCAAGGCGCAAGTGCAGCACCTGAAGCAACCCAAGGCGAGGCGAGTTGAAGAAAGCGCGTGCCTTTGCACAACTTGGCCAGGTGAACAAAGGCGCAAATCGTGCGACTGTTTGTGACTTGTTCTTTTTTGGTTTTTGATTGAATCTAATGGTTGATATTGTGTTTTAAAGGCCTCAATCACAAAGGATTAGAACTCTAAGCTATACTACTCAATAGCCAGCCCCAAATCAATTCGAAATGCCCTCATCAATTCGAAAGAAAGAAGAAATCTAGCGGTGTCTCTTCTCTTCCTTTCGGCTCGTCTAGTCCTGTCTCTGGCCCAGGTGAGTTCTTCTTTTGCTTCTTCTTCTTCTTCGTTGCCGTGGTTCTTCTTCTTTGACTTTTTTTACCGAAGAAACCTTACGGTGTCCGAGTGTTTCTTCCCTTCAACTTGCCTCGTCTTGTCTGGACCAGATAGTTCTTCCTCTTTGATGCTTTCCTCTTCTTCTCCTTCATCTATTTCTTCTTCTTCGCTACCTCTATTTTTTTTCCATCCATCTCAATTTTTTTTTTTTTTTTTGTTTCTTCCCTACTCTACTTTTTTTTTTTTCTTTTGCTTATTCGATGTGCTGGGCTGGGTTATTCTTCTTCTTATGATCAAATAGAGACAATTGATTTTCTTTTTTAGTTGAGAATGTCATCAGGTGTGACATCATCTTGCACTTGGAATTTTTAATTTGATGATATGACACCACTTTGTTTGCCACTTAACTTTCAATTTGAAAACACTGATTAGCTACATAAATTTAGTTATAGTTTCACTTACAAAAAGCTTCAAATGAAGATCAACTTACCTAAAAAAAAAAAATTCCTTTAAGCATTATTTTTTTAGTATTACTTCATTTCCCTTTTTTTTTTTTTAGAATATAGTTTCCACTGTTTCACTTGCAAAAAGCTTCATATATATATATATATATATATATTTTTGTTGAATGTGGATTATTTTATCTTTGAAAATTGAAATGTTATGTAATATGCACTTTTATGGTTAAATACAGAAAACAAAAAAGTAGAATTTTTTGAAAAGTAAAGTTTGGAAATCAAAACCAAACAGAGTGATCAGTATTTGTTGTATATTTATATTTTGCATGTTTGGTGTTTTTTTTTTTTTCGGTGGGTGTGGTTAAATGTGGGTTATTTTACCTTTGAAATTGAAATGCTATTTAATATGCATTTTTATAACTTTAAGAATTATTCTATAATTTGCCTCATTAATTTATTTATTTATTTATAAATTGTCTTAGTACTAACACGCTATGAATCATTAGTCTATGTTAATTTATCTATTTTTTACTAAGACTGTGCGCCTTACTTCAATAAAGCTCGTGCCACGCCTTGCGCTTAGGCCCCAAGAGACCTTCGGCACCTCAGTGCGCCTTGAGCCCTTAAAAACACTGGTTCGGATGTTGATGTTAGTGAATGGTATGCCTGAGGGATTCTTTCTGACATTCAAGGATGGATCTTCGACAGGAAGATCCTTTGTCTCCGTTTCCGTTCATTCTGGTCATGGAGGCCCTGAGCCGGTTATTGTCTAGAACAATTCTAGGGGGTCTATTGACAGGTTTTCAGGTGGGGAGGGATTCAACAGTGAGCTTGGTTGTGTCTCATTTGTTTTATGCTAATGATGCTCTTATTTTTTTTGGGGCGGATGCGGATCAGATTAATTACTTGAGGTGTGTTTTGTTGTACTTTGAGGTAGTGTCAGGACTTAGGGTGAACTTGGCAAAATCTTAGATGATTCTGGCGGGCAAGGTGGAGTGCTTACCAATGTTGGTAGCAATTTGGGGTGTAAGGAGGCCATGTTACCCGTTTCCTATTTAGGTTTACCGAAGCAACCTTCAAGGTGTCAATGGTATGGTATGGTATGGTATGGGGTGGTGGATGGTGTGCAGCAATAACGCATGCTGAAAGAGGCAATATTTGTCAAAAGGGGGGCAGATTACTTTGGTAAAGAGTGTGCTCTCAAGTATCCCAACATATTTTATGTCGATGCATGCAATTCCGGTGATAGTGGCTAAGAGGACAGAGAAACTACAGAGGTACTTTCTTGGGGGACCAAAGGAGAAAGGGGGTTTAGGGGTTTGGAGTTCGGTTACGTTCAATTTGGTTCTTTTGGGAAAGTGGCTGTGGCAATTTGTAGGGGAGTGGGAGAGGTTATGGAGGGTGGTGGCAACAAAATATAATTTGGGGCAGGGGGAGTGGTGTACTGAGCGGGTGAGAGAGTCGCATGGGTGGAGTTTGTGGAAGGGGATTTGGTTAGGGCATCAGGAGTTTTGGAAGCGAATTCGTTTTAAGGTTGGGGTGGGGGACAAATTTTAGTTTTGGCGTGATAAATGGTGTGTTGAGGAGACTCTAGAAGAGTTGTTCCCTTTGATTTTTTGCATTGCTATTGATCCAGATGTGATGGTGGCTTCTTATGGGATTGGTCGAGGGCAGATAGTTGTATGGAACATTCTTTTGTGGTGTGAGGTGCAAGATTGGGAGGTGGAGTGGACCAATTGGTTGATCTTCTGAGCTTTCTATATAGGGTGTGGTGTGGGGAAGTTGGGGGGAATTCTCTAATGTGGGCTTGTCTGAAGCCAAAGGGGTTTTTGTCGATAGTCTCATATTATCATGAGCTTGTGGGAGGGGCAGGAGTATTGTTTCCTTGGAAGAGTTGTGGGTTATAGGGTCTCCTTCCAAGGTTGCTTTCTTTGTATGGACAATAGCTTTAGGGCGTATTTTGACTATTGACAATTTGATTCGGCGCGGACATATTTTGGCCAATTGGTGTTATGTGTTGTGGAGATGCAGAATCAGTAGATCATTTACTTATCCATTGTTTTGTAACGGTTAGGCTAAGGGCACTTATTGTTGGTTTGGATTCAGCAGAGGTTGGCGGTGGAAGTTCTTTAGAGTTTTAAGAGGGACGAAAGTTGGGAGGCGTAGACGAAAGGCGTGGTTGCTTGCTGCTCAGTGCTTAATGTGGCTTATTTGGTTGGAGCGCAATACACGAACTTTTCAGAGGATTTCTCATTCGGTGTCTTGGTTGGAGAATAGGTTGTTTTTGGTTCTTCATAGCCGGGTCACGGTGTTAGTGGATCCGGATGTGTTGGCTTTCATAGATTTTGTGGATGATTTGATTTCTTAGTTTTTGGCCTTTTGTGGGTTTTAGTTTTATATTCCTTGCATCACCTTGATACTTTTTAATAATATCTGATTTTATTTATCAAAAAAACATTGTAATAGCTTTCCTCTTACGCATATGCATTCTGAAAAGGCCACAAAATATCACTGTCACATATTGTTACATTGCTTCCAACACAAGTGTCAAACTTTTCTTACCTCTAATCGAAAATACTTCACTGAACGATTGGAATCAGATTTTCCAGCAACTCCAACTGATTCAACAACCTCCAGATTCTTTCTCTGTGTAGTCAAACGGCGAGCTGCACCCTGACAAACAAAAAGGTGAAATTTTGAGAAACACACTGAAAAGGTCACTATACTCATCCCACAAAGACAAGCTATCAAATCTTGTCAAAAACTACTCACTGCAGCAGAGGCATCCCGACTGAGCTGAGCAAGCTGCATGCCAAGGCTTTGCTGATTGGACATGAAACGTCCAGTAGCCCTGTTGGCTGAGATTGCTTGCCAGTTAGGCATGGATCTCCACAGGCTTTGTTTAGTAAATTTAAAACCCTGTCCAACAAATGAATATAACGCAAACATATGAATGAAGAACCCAATGTTTAACTATGCAGCCAAAGATAAATTTTTATACTGAAAGAATAAGTGGATTTCAGAAGCAATGAAACTAGCATAACAATATGAATGGCCCAGTCATAAAGATCAGGTCGTCTGAGCACAATAAAGATTTCAACCATTGACACTGATATAATGCTGCGTACAAGGTGTATTTGGCTATCAACCAATAAGATGTTGCCTACCTAGAAATGGTTCACTGCAAACTACAGAGCAAAGGAACCTTTTTTTCAGTGCTCTACAATTAAAATTTCCATGGTGACCAGACAAAAATTTGCCAAGAGATTAAACCATTTCCCCTTTATTAAGAAGACAATAAAGAGAAATCAATCAAGAAATGTACATGCTGTGATTTATAGACAAGAATCCCCAAATACGGTGCCAGATCTAGCTAAGATAGTAAGTCTATTTATTGGGAAAAACACTGGGCAGATCAACATCGGCCAACACTAACAGCTACCAACCAATCACTTAATTTTATTTTATTTTATTTTTGGTCATACTGTATACATCAATAGGAGTTAGCTTGTTAGTTGTTCAATGCAAAGGGTATCAAACACTTCTCCAAAATAATTGAACCTACAACCTCACACTACAAAGTGGTGCTATACAACTATTTGGGCCGTTTTTTTTATTTTTCTCTTGGCGGGCCCACCCTCCTGGTGGAGAATCGGGCACAATACAAAGGGGCAATGTTTTGTATGCCTTACAACCCAAAACCCAATCAAGATAAAGCATGGACATGAAAGATAAATAAATAAAAATACAAAAACGAAAGATAAGTTTTAAAGCTTTGAATGAGGGCTTCGGCTTCCCACTTCACTCTGCCTCCAGTTTAACTTTCTGGTAGGTTCCTTGTGAGTGTTTGTCATGAGCAACAAAACAATCTACTTGGTTACTCAGTTTCTCATACTTCAAAGCAAAAAACTCACAACTCAGGTAAGATGAACCTAATGGCGTAACTTTCTTGAACCTCATAAGCTCAAATCTGAAGATTACATCAATATACAATTCCATGTACTTATAATCAAGTTTGCAGCCAACCTGAAGCATATATCATAAAAACCATGCTCTCCACTTCATTTCTTCAGTGAATCAGTTTAACACTGACCTTGCCAAAACACAATCCAAATCATGATCACGTATAAAAACATGAAGTTGCTCAATGCACTCAACAAATCCTTGTGCCAACTATATGGGGCCACTACACATATCCTTCTCACTTATGTGTAGGCCATGTCTTCACACCCTAAGAAAAATCATAAGTTTTCAGATTTGCAGTTCACTGATTTGACAAGAAGTTTTTTTACTGAATGATACAAGGGAAGGGAGTCTTTCTACTGTAACCAGAAGCATGAGGTGTACTTTTGGGTATAGCAAATATCAGTACAATTCATACAGAAGAATAACCTTAATGTCAAAACCTATCATAAACTCAATCCAAAGCACGATCCGGATCATCTAAGGAAAATTGGATCATAGGATCATATGATCCGGATCGCGATTTTAACCTCCTTGATCAAAACTACTTGGAAGTAAGACCACAAATAGCAGATATCAGTACAATTTTGGTTTTTTGTCTTCTTTGGGCATCATGATATGAGCATGTTTGAAAGAACATCCTGCATGGACAATTATACATAGGTTGCAAGGAGCGCTACCATGTTCACACAATAATTTCACTACAATACCAGAACCAGATACCACTTAAAATCTATTCAATAATTACACAAAAATTAAAAGCGTCCCAACAATCAAAGGCCAATTAGATGACACAACAGAGTACTAAAAAAGTGAAAAAATTCCATGAAATTTAGATTATGAAAACCAGGCACTGGCCTATGCAACCTGTCTTTTCTCAACTATGGCAGGCAGTGCAGGCAAGATCTTAGCATCAACAGAAAATTGATAGATACAGGTACCAATGAAGGGCTATGTGGAAATTTTGGCTCATCCTCATCTTCAACATTTGGTCAGCTGGTTCCAATTTTATGCAAAAACACTTCTCCGAAAAGTTTCACTTTTGTCTATGGTAAGGGAATGTACATCTGTTAATTTGTTTTTAAAGCATAGGCTAAATATCATTTGGAAAAGCATAACATGAACTATTCTCTCTAGTACCCAGTCTTTCATTGCTAGAAAAGTAGTTTATTAGTACCGTATACTCCATGTGTAACTATGTGTAGTACTTGGATTATGGGTAAGTGTCTTGCATAACTTTTTAGCAGAAACTCTAATAATTCCATTGTACATGCATATAAACACTTTACAGAAGAACACATCCAACAGAACCTCTTGAGAGCACACAGTTCGCAGCCATTGCTCTCGTTATAATGGCAAGTCATGTTTCATACTTCAAGAAACAGACCAATGAATTGTAGCTACTTGTTGAACAATGAACAATAATTTCCAATTAATTCAAGAAATAAATATTCCTCATTAGATTCCCAAGAAAAATAAAGGGCAACATTAAATCCACACCAATTTTTTATGGTTCACAGCACACTGTTTCATTATGGTGCGACCCACTGAAGTGAGAGGGGCTTGTTCATCGAGGAGAACTGTTAGATTTATCAAATTCCACAATAAAATGTTCAGTCATATACAAGTGAAGAATCAACCAAAACCATAAAGAGAGAGAAAATCACTATTAGACGAAGGAGACTATATAAGAAATCTTCAATAATATATTATAGATGGTGCCAAGTATTTCATCAATGTATCATGTGATTTTCAGTAAAAACAACTACAATCCTGAGTAAAACACCGAAAGAGGCAAACCTTGTTTGTCAAAGGGGATGTGGGAACTTCTATATTCAGTAAGCAACTTTGGGGGAAAATACCCTTCTCTATATCTCTTATGGCTGCCTTTATTAAAGGTAAACAGACAGTCACAGCATCCTTGAAATCAGTATCTTGACTTTCATCCTTCTTCCTGAATTAGGTCATGACAACAATATATTACATATATCAACTGCGATGAGAAAACAACAACAAATATCATGAGTCAAGGACTAAAACACACCAATTCAGTGAAATCGACATGGATGGTACACCACTCATCAATGCCTCTCTCGCTCCAGCTACAACCCCCGAGTAAAACCTAGAAAATTCCCAAGCAATAAACATAATTACAAAGTCTCTAAAATAGAGCTCAAATATGAATATAAAAAAAATAAAAAATAAAAATCAATTAAGCCACCATTCACATCTAAACAACTTCAGAAACTACAGCAGAAGAGTAGCTAAACTCCATGAGCAAAAAATGTTTTGGAGTGCAAACCCAAAGGTAAAAAATCAAACCCAATCAGAAAGATCTAGTTACACAAACATACAAATAAATAAATAAATAAAAACAGCATCCAAACTACATACATGTGATGACCGCAACTGGAACCCCTGTTGATTCCACTTATTACCTGAATATCAGATCAAAAGCTTAAATCATCATAAAACAACCAACAAAAGAAAGCATCAATAATCCCATGCATGAAAAAAGCATGTAAAAGCATACCAGCAGTGGCTTTGACCAAGAAAACAGCGCCCCACATAAAGCTAATGACACACAATCCACAGGAGTCCCTGTATGCAAGAGTCCACCATTAAAAACCACCAATAAAGTGCAAAACTTGCAACAAATTTGTAGAATCTTAGAGCATAAAACAAATAACAACACAATTAAAGATCAAGCTACAGACAATTATTAAAATCAGCACAATTTAGTCATATATACACTGTTTGAATATCCCTAATTATCATTCATAGATTATTTCTTTATTTCTTTATTTTGAAAAAAAGGCCTTATACCATTAAAACCGCCAATAAAGTTGGAAAAATTGCAACAAATTTGCAGAATCTTGGAGCATAAAACAAATAACAACACAAAATTAAAGATTTAAAATCAGCACAATTTAATCATATATATATATATATATACTGTTAGAGCATCCCAAATTACAATTGAAAAAAAAAAAAAAAACACGAATTGCTACAAGGAATTAATTAAATAAAATGAAAATGATAATCACAGGAACGCAATCATACCAGAAACTTCATAAGCTGTGGCACCATTGATCTCAGCAGAACTCACTGTAACCGTTTCTCTAAGCGTCACCGAATGACCCGACACTGATTTGTCCCTAAAACCAATCCACCAACATATCAACAAAAACTTAAAAAATAATAATTTAACACACGTTACCAAACTCGAAAATTAAGAGAATCAAGCAACGAATATAAAACCCAAAATCATTCATGGATTAACGATATACATATACATATGCAAAACAAATACAAAATTAAAAGAAGACCCACGATTGGGGAGCGCAAACGTGAACATTGTAAAGGGCTTCGCGGACCAAAGCTTGAACAAGGTAAGTAAGGCCAGGTGAGTCAATTCCATCAGCATTGGTGACCAAAACAAGAGGTTTCGAATTATCTTCATCCAAATTAGGCTCAGTAGAAGAAGGTGGTTTGGTGGATTCATCATCATCATCGGCATCATTATTAGCATTCTTCGATTGTTCATCCTCTCCGCCGCCTTTTCTGCTGAGAAGCACCTCCTGGAGATTCGAGACCAGACCCGGAGGCAACAAGTTGTTGTTCTTCACAGCTGAAGTCGTCATTTCTAGAGAGAGAAAATGATGATGATGAGAGAGAGAGAGAGAGAGAGAGAGAGAGAGAGAGAAAGAGAGGGTAGGTTTGTGTTGTAGTTGGAGAATCAAAACCCTAGACTTGAAAGGAAAAGGAGGGCGTTATTTATAGAGAGAGAGAGAGAGAGAGAGAGAGAGAGAGAGGGGCTGAATTGAAAGTGTTGATTGCTGCAACAGAGATGCATATAGAGATAGACCGATTCTAACGGCGTTATTTAGAGAGAGAGAGACACAGAGAGAGAGAGAGAGAGGCTACATGAGATGAGATGAGAGACATGAATATCTTTAGGAGTAAATTACAAATATTTGAAATATGAATAGTTTTTTTTTGTAATTTTTAAAATAATATTTTATATTTGAGATTTTTAATTTCATAATAAATTATTTTTTATTAATAAATTATCAAATCGATTATTTTAATAATATTATAAATAAATTTTAATTAATAATTTAGATAATTTTATTATTGTATATAAGAGAAGTTATTAATTTTATTTTTTAATTAATTCTGTTAAATAAAAAATTATGATAATAAAATATTTATAATTTTCTAAATTACAGGAGATAATTCGTATTTTAAATAAATTTTAAAGGATGTATTTGTAATTTATCTTATTGGGGGAGAAGTACTGCTATTAGCACTTCATCAATTATTTTGGACCCTCTATTTTTTATCCCTTTTCTTATTACAATAATAACCTCAAATGAAATTACTAAAATGAATATCAATAATTTTGGGATACTCCATCTCACAATTAAGCCTACACATACACATTACATCATAAATTAGGGTTTATGAGAGCACTCACCTCCATCATCACACATCCATCTTCTCCAAATTCCACTTTCAAAACATTCTAGCCCTCAAAATCTTAAAAACCCTTTAGCAGCAATATTTTAGCGGTAGCAGCGGCAACTATTTGATTACCTACACTATTCCGGTAGTGATAATGAGTGAAAGTTTTTTCGAAAACCACAACTCCATGAGACGAGAGGAGTACAGCAATAAAAATTCAAAGGAGGTTCACAACTTTGATAGTGTTCTTAGCCCAGAGAATATTGGTTTTGTAAAGGTAAGTTTCTTGGGAAAAAAAAAATGACAAAAATAATAAAAACTGTTCGTCATTTTTTCGGGACTAAACTTCCAAACATATAATCGAAATTCAAAAACATAAGTCCGAACATTATTTATTTGTTCGGGACAGGTAATCGAAATTTCTTATTTGTTCAGAAACAGATAACTGAACATTATTAATAAATCTTTTTCAAACTTATAAAATCACAAAACCCAGGTAAGATAAGGAATAAGAATTAAAACTGTCAAATAATTCAAAAAAATCCACTTGAGATATCACAAATTCAAACTCGTGGAAATCGTAAAACCTATAAAATGGAAATTTTAAATCAACAATAAAAAATCTTACATTTATTTTTTCAGGTCATAAATAAATATGTGGAGATGGACTAGTAATCATCTTCTTAAGTTTTGTTAGGATTTTTAGAAGAGAGACCTTTTGTAGTAATCATCTTCTTAAGTTTTGTTAGGATTTTTAGAAGAGAGACTTTTTGAGGTGTGTGGATATAGGAGTGTGCATTCAATTGAACGTGTGAAATATTTTTATAATGATAATTTTAGTATTATTTAGGAGAAGAAAAAAATTTAAAAGTTTTAGAATTGAGTAATGATCCATCCCCCCCTTTTTTCCCCACTCCCTTTGACCCCCTCTCTCTCTCATTGGTCACCTTTTCTTTTTCTTTTTCTTTTTTTTCCTGCTCCACCAATCATCCCCTGCCACGTGGCAAAGGGGGGTGAGGGGTGACCCCCAAAAGGGGGTCCCAAGCATTATTCTTTAGAATTTCTAAGTGAAATATAAAGGAATAAAAAATTTAAAATAATTGATGAAGTGAAATATTTTTATAATGATAATTTTAGTATTATTTAGGAGAAGAAAAAAATTTAAAAGTTTTAGAATTGAGTAATGATCCATCCCCCTTTTTTCCCCACCCCCTTTGACCCCCTCTCTCTCTCATTGATCACCTTTTCTTTTTCTTTTTCTTTTTTTTCCTGCTCCACCAATCATTCCCTGCCACGTGGCAAAGGGGGTGAGGGGGTGACCCCCAAAAGGGGGTCCCAAGCATTATTCTTTAGAATTTCTAAGTGAAATATAAAGGAATAAAAAATTTAAAATAATTGATGAATTACAAATAGTAGGACTCTTTGAAAAAAAGAAAAAAGAAAAAAAAGGGGTGCGTGTGTGTGTTAAGTTGTTTTTATGGGAGGGGGTAGGAGTAGGATGGAAGGATTGGAGGGGGGACAAGGAACACAGATGAAACTATGGCTTGCTTTGGGGGTAGATTTGTAAGATGCACGCGCACCTCTGAGCACGTGAAAATCATTGGCATGTTAGATTTTGGTTAACAGACACGTGGTTTGTCATGATTGAATGTTGTTGACTGAGATTTCTGCTTTTTAAGGTAGAGATATGGGGTCGTGCTGGAACCTTGCTGTGTAGACGCGTGGATCTATGTTTGGAAACGTATTTTCTTTAATTTAGGGCTAGTTTGGCATATACTAAATAAGTCAAAAAGTTAAAAAGTACTATCTTATTTAAGTCACATCATCTTATTTAAATCACATCACCTCTCTAACACATCACATCAAACCCAACCCAAACCCACCAATAAGTCAAAAAGTGCACTTTTTTAGGACATCCCAAACCTTATATCCCTGCTTAACTTAGACTACCATTGTTATAATCAGCCTTTTGTGAGAGAGAAAAGTGAGTTATAATTTAATAAATGGATTATAATTTACTTTTTAAAAGTTCCCGTAATTAGAGATTGTTTGAAATATTCTAAATATATATATTTTTTTAATTTTTTATTAAAAAATAGAGAAAAGTAGAGAAAGAATGTTAAGAAATGTTACATTATATAAAAGGAATCTTACCTGTTGAGTCAATCTCTATCTCTCTCATATCATATATATTTTCCTATATATATATATATATTATTTATTGCTCACAATGATGATGGAGACGTGAGCCTTTAGGGTGAAAAAAAAAGAAAAAAATTATGAGAGAAGCCATTGGCATCAACAATCGACCTCAAGCACCAAAACATCAAGTGCACATATCCTTCTTCTCTAGCTTTTCACATTTCATTTTGTTTATATTAAACCAAACTATTTGATTTTACTTATGATTTCCTTTTTCCTTTTTTTTTTTTTTTGGTTTTTTTTTTTTTTTTTTTTACACTTTTCACCTTACTAGAACTCAATTATACATCTAATTTTAAAGGATTTATTATTGTTGTATCATAAATTAATAAATTTTTTCTTAGGACTGGAATTCCCAACACGTAATACCTCTCTAGTTAATTTGTGGCTTAAAATAATGATTAATAATGAAGTTTTTATGTAATAATTTTTTTTTAATAAAATAGTTATTTAAATTTATTTTTTTAGTTTTTTGAGATGCAAAATATTAAGTAAATCTTTATATTCAAATTTTGTTAATAATTTTTTTTAATTGATAATGATCTTGTTTGGAAAATTGATTATTTATTTATTTAACTATTTTAACCTAGCTAAAATAATTGTTTTTAAGAAGTTACTTAGCTTCTTCTTCTTCTTCTTATTTTTTAAGTTTATTTGATAGTTGTGAGAGAAAAAATAAAATAATTATGAGTTAATGTGACATTTTATCTTTTAACGTATTTTATCATTTAGTTCAATTTTAACCAAACTCTCTTCACAAACACTCCCAATATAATTAATCCACTTAATATTTTTTATAACATATAGTTGATCTAAGGTAAGATTTTATCAATTTTAATTTTGAAAAAGTTCTTTCTACAAAAGCAATTGTTACAGGTATTATTAATAATACTATATAAGAAATACATGCATTTGAAAAAGAATCTAACCGTTTTGTATAATCAGTAATGTTAGAGACGTCTAATTTAGATGCTCTAAACACATCTCTATTGAGGTGGAAAAGGAAAAAGGAAAAAAAAAAAAAAACAAACACAGCACTGACAGTGGCAGTGGGTGGGATCCACTGCCACATTACTAATGGCACCTCTAATTAGAGGTGTCAAGCATTTTTATTATATAATTTAGTATATCAACTAGATTGCTTTCTTGATTAGTTTGAAATTTCTCTTTTAAAACTTTCAATTTTGAAAATAAATCTAAAGCCATCCATATCAGAAAAGTTGTTATGTTTTAATTTTTTTTTCTAGATTAAAACAATGTTTTTATAGATTATCATCATCCAATGATTATAATTTTTCAAAATTGAATAAAAAAACCAAAAACATTTTCAAACCTACTTTAAAGCGAAGAAATAGTTGGATCGGCTTTTTTCCAATGATCTCTCTATTTATTGATTTGTTCTAGGATTTTTTTATCGATTGTTTTATTTTTTAACCTTGCTTCTAGGGATTGTTTGGAATGTTCTAAATAAGTATATTTTTTTGACTTTTTATGAAATATGGGTTGAATTTGAAGTGATGTAGTAGAGAGTTGATATGACTTAAATAAAATGATATGACTTAAATATGATAGTGATTTTTTAACTTTTTGACTTTTTTAAGAGATGCCAAACCTAGCCTAAATCAACCCAAGCCTTAATGTTATTAATATGTTGATTAGTTGTTTCATGCTTTTAAGTTTTACACCCAAATTTCTCCAATCTCTTGTTACTTCATTTACAACAAAAACAAAATACTTTATCTAAATTTATTGAATAAATTAGCCATTTTCTGCCATGCTTCTCTTTGTTTGGTAATTTTCGAATATAATAGGCGGTTAAAAAATGTCTAGAGAGTTCATCTTAGGGAAAATTTATATCATAATCTCTAATTGGACCGTTTTCTACTAATAAATTTCTTAATTTTGTATCAATAGTAGTTGTGTGAGTGATTTTCTGACCACACTGCCCGCCTAGTAATCAGCTGGAGAACACCGGCAGAATAGATGGCTTCAACTAACCTGCAATAGAAAGAAAACGCTCCGGCGGTGGCTCTTCCACCCAGGGGCACTCCGACGATCAAGTCAGTATATCTTAGACCCATTGGGGTGCCTCTCTTTTATAACCAATACAATCCTAGTCCCAATAGGAGCCTGGCCCTAATGGACTTAGGATTACTGCTAATCTGGGACTCCTAGTGGGATTAGGATAAACTCTCTAAGAGTCTTATCTTTACAAAAACTGAAGTCTT